AAGTCAGAAGTACATACTAAGCATCAGTGCTTACAGTGTTATCAGCAAATTTATCTGTGCCAAAGTTCAAATGAGAGTCACATGTGTGTGTTAGATAGATTGACAGATTTCCTCCCTCAATAAACATCTATTGAGCATTTTTTGTGTACCGAGAAGGAGGGTCTCTCAGGTCCTTCAGGCAAGGTGTCATAACCGTCTCAGTCTTTGCTGGGAAACATGACAGACATTCAGTGGATATAATTTGAAAGGTGATGGCAGACAGATTTAGGAGAGAGATGTACATAAATGCACATATAAAAAAATAACTTAATATTGTAAATGCTAGAGAAATATGAACAGTTATTGTGGGATCTGGGAAGAGATTAACTCTAGTTGAGAGCCTGGGAGAACCTCATGGAAGAAGAAATATCTTGGAAGTGGGATTTAAATAATATGTAGAGCACTGACTGGTGTGATTCAGTGGATTGAGCATCAGCTTATGAACCACAGAGTTGTCAGTTTGAATCCCAGTCAGGGCACATGCCTGGGTTTTGGGCCAGGTCCCCAGTAGGGGGCGCTTGAGAGGCAACCACACATTGTTGTTTCTCTCCCTCCCTTTCTCCCTCCTTCCCCTGTCTCTAAAAATAAATAAATAAAATATTTTAAGTGAGTAAGTAAGTAAATAAATAAATAAATAAAATGTAGAAATTTGACAAGTTGAGAGTAAGGGAATTTCATTGTTATATACTGTGAGGGGAAATTTCAGATGCCTATAGGAACAAGGAACCCAACATCCATGAGAGAGGCAGACTGGGTAGAAACAATGAGGAACCTGTGATCACAAATCCCACCTAGATGCGAGCAGCTACTCAGCTCATGGTAATCGTTGCTACATTGCATTGGGGAGTCCAGGTGGCCAGACTGACCAAGTTTCCAAGGGAAGTCAGAAATCTGAACTGTTCTATAAAAGTTCTGTTTCACTATTGGCAACTGACTAACATTAAGAGGTTTCTACTGGCCTTCTGTTTGTGACTTATGCTTTTATTATGGTACCTTGGTTAAACTTCTCCCTATTTAGGAGATAATGCCTTCTTTCCTTCAGGATCAATCACTATTTATTAAAATAACACAATTTTCTCTAGTATGGTTCTATATATTATGTATTAATATATAAATCACACATTAAAAGGAAAGAGAATAAATTTGGAATCCTCTATTTTGGGTGACCCTGTGAGATAAAAATTACTTGTTAACATTTTGCATTTTTGCCCTCTAAGAAAGGTTAACTATATATTCTAAGCATTGACTGGCTTTTTAATAACCTTGTCTTAAAACTTCTAAGAACTTATATCGACTTGCCTTTTAGAAAGTTTTTTAATAACCCATTGTACATTAGAGAGATAGGGTGAAGGTTGTATTATAAACAAGGATGACTTTCTTAAGTATGACAAATAACATAAAATCTTTTAACCTTGTCTTTATGCACAAAGGCACCTCTAAGGGTGTCTCCAGTAAGTGCTATATTAACACAGAAGTTTAGTTAATTACAGCCACTATTCTCACATACCTTAACTGAGTGTGAATACCAAGCAATCTAATAGTGTGCCCCTGAGCATTAATACCTAATGAAATTGGATTCCTTGTTTCTTCTAATGAGCTCATTGCTTTTCTAAATATGGTCATTGTAGGTAAATGATCAATAGCCTTGAAAATGATACCATTACTGGGTTATTTTGACAAGAAAGAAATATTCTTTACATAAAATAAGTATTTTCACATACATATCTCATGTGACTTTCTAAATAATCTCATGCATAACAAGAATAGCCATTGTGGATTTGTTGATTTGTTTTACTGGCTGAGTTGGAAACTGTAGACAGTCTCTCTCTGAATATAGAGACTTCAAATCCACAAAATCTAGTTCAAATTGGAATAAACTGAATCCAATGTGTTTCTGTTAATTGAGAAACTGACGAGCAGTAGGCTATGAGAAGGTCTGTTATGGTGTCTATAATAGTTATAGCATATTCCTGCTATAGTATAACAGTTTAGTACAAATAATCTCCACTGTATTTGTTTCCTAGGGCCATCACAACAAATTACCACAGATTTGATTGCTTAATGTCAATGTTAGAATGTCCACACCTTTTGAGTGTTTTTGTAAGAGTTTATTTGAGCCAAACTGATGACAAGTTCGGGGAAGCAAGATCTTAAATGCTCCAGAAAATGACAGTTTGCAGTTTCTTTTGTATATTTGGAATTAAGAAGAGAACATAAGGAAGATTACATGGAGCTGGGAACAAGCAAGTCAGATTACAGGATTATGTCATCTCTTGACGATGGTTATACCTCTATAAAAACAATGGACAGGGTTTGCTTAAGGCAAAGATAAACCTTTTACTAAAGAAGTGACTTGCCCTGCAGTGTCACTACCCACCAGGACCTGTCCAGTTAAGAATTTAGGATCAGATCATCCTGTGAGATTACTTTCAGTCACTGGACTTGTTAGATTTACTATAAAACCCCCCACCCCCTCTTTGTGTCCACAATTCACACAGGAGAAATTTATTATCTCATAGTTCTGGAGGCTGGAAGTTTGAAATCTAGCTGTTAGTTGCACTGCATTGTCCAGAGGCCCTAGGGGAAAATCTGTCCCTTACTTCTTCCAGCTTCTGGTGGCTGTAGGCATTCCTTGACCTGTGGCCACAACACTTAAATCCCTGCCTCCATGATCACATTGCCTCCTTCTGTTCGGTCAGAGTCTCTGCTCTGTCTCTCCTAAGAACATGCCCTAGTTTTACGGCCCACCCTGGCACTCTAAGAGGATCTTTTTATTTTAAGGTTCCTAACTTAATTATGTATGCAAATCTTTTTTTTCCAAATAAGGTCACACTCACAGATTCTGGGGATTAGGACTCTGACACAAATCAGTTTGGGGACCAACAATCATCCCATTACATCTACTTTTCCCCACTGCTGTGCTTAGTAAAGTCTAACACAGTCACTACTCACATTATTATGGTGTTTAAGTAATTTATCAATATTATCATTTACTGAGTAAGTAACTTATATTTGTGTGTTTGCATTTTTCATTCTTGTAACCATTCTAGCATTATCTCTTTGATGCAGATCAGGAAATAGAGGCTCAAAAAAGGTAACACCTTGCCTAAGGATACCACACAGCTAATAATAGTGTCAGTTTATGTTTAATGTGCATGTTTTCAACTACAGCTTACATTTATTCATGTATAACTTTACATGTTCACATTCTTCCTCAGAAACTGATATGTTAAATTTTATTCATTAAATTTTTAGTCTCTGTGATTCCTCAGCTTCCTGAGGTGGTAATACTCTATAAATTTCAGGACATTGCTTTCATATTTAACCTTAGGAAGAGCAGGCCAAAGTGAGGTTTTATAGAATAAGGACCATAGGATGAAAATGAATTTAGGGCTTACTGCTGTACCCAAAGCTATCTTTTAATTTTCATTTCTAAGGTAGTTTAACCCATAATAGATTTAGAATTAAAAAAAATGGGTGTAAGTGTACTGCAGTGCTTAAAGCCATATGCACAGAGACTATGGTGTTTGAGTCCTATCATCTCCATTTATTAATAATGCTTTTGTGGAGCTAATCACTTAATTCTCCTGTGCCTTACTTTCTTTGTTTCTGAAGTAGAAAATCATAATGATACCTCACAGGGTCTTTTAAGGAGTGAATGAAATAATAATGCTTAAACAGTAACAGCTCCAGAGTATAAAATCAATATAGAAATATTAATTATTATGAACTGTAAGTATTCTGCATAGAGAATGATAATATAAGCACTACATTTAAAATCATGATGGAGTAGCCAGCAGTAGAATTCAGTAGAGTTTTATTTGGCATCCAACACAGCTTCTAAGTTCACAGCAGAACTCGGGGGAGACGGAGGGTGTCACAGCATAGCGTAAATATCACCTGGTAGAGTTTTCTTTCGTAAATCAAAGTGTTTTATGGTCCTTCCTTTCTTCTTCACACTACTTAATTCCCAGACCTTTGTATTTCTCTCCTGACCCTGACTCTGCTCTGTTATTCATTCTTTCTTTAAGGAAAAAGTTAAGTTTTCATTTTTCAAGCTAATCCTTTTTAAATCTTACCTATTTTCAGATTTCCAATGTAATGTGAACCCATAACTGAGTCAGAAGAAACAATCATATTAGCTCTGTCTCATATGCATGAGCTCTGTGAAGAACACTGGAAACTGTATTCTGTTGGCATGTTTACAATTCTAAGAAATCTATTGTGATATACAATTTAGAGATAAAATGTGGGAAGGCTCAGGGAACTGATAGCATTTCTAAGTGAAAGTGGTTTACAGCTGTCAGAGTGTATGAAATTAATGCTCAGTTTGTTTACATCCATATCATAGCTTCAGCATTTGTAGTCTGTCAGTGGAGCAGGGAGGAAATCATGAAGTCTTTATATTTTACTTATTTGTGTTTTCACATATAGCTTTCTGTGGCAATTATTTTAAATTTATGAACCTCATATATAATAACACTTTTCTTTATGGAACCCAGTGTTCATGATAAAGACAAATTAAATACATTCTTAATAGACTCAAGATGTCAACAGTTACTATCTACTGTTACTTGATTTTGGGAGGGTGATTTGAGTAAATGTCGGCACAGGAAAGTGAAATGAATTGTCTCCATGTTAAACTATGACTGAATGATGGAGCCAGCTGTACGCATTTTCATATATTTAATTTTGATTTTTATCCATCTTAACCACAACTTATCCCTCCTACTCCAAATCAAGAAGTTAATTCATTTCTCAGTAGGGAAAGGCTTTAATTGTCAGTGCTTTGGGGAAAATACTCTAAAATGCATTGTGTTTGCTGTAAATGAAATTCTGATCTTGCTTGTAACCACAGGATTTTGCTATCAAACTCACAACAGCCAAGTTCTCCCTTTGATCAGGGGAATCAAAGTATGTCTGCATGAATTGGTTCACACGGTGTCTTCTCCAACATCTAGGTGAGCACAAAATGCCGAGGCCTCTGGTGGGAGTGTGTCACAAATGCTTTTGACGGGATCCGCACCTGTGATGAGTACGATTCTATATTTGCAGAACACCCATGTACGTATACCTTAGACATGCCACTCGTAGGGATGGGCTCTCAGAGAAAATTGAACCCAGGTTTTCATTGTGTAGTTTTCTTTTCTACAGTGCTGTATTAAGATTCTGCCCAGTTTTAAATATTTTAGTTAGAAATTTAGTGTATTTCTGAAATAGGAGTTGAAACTTTTTAGCCTATTTTATCTTTGCCTGTGTATTTGTAAATTCTTTAGAATAAAAAATATTATCTTATTCATCACTGCTTTTCCCCAAAGGACCTCTCATAGTGCCTTATACACAATAGGCTTATAGTAAACACTTTTAAAATTGAAACAAATTCTTCAGGATGCTGTGATTTTATGATTAGAATCGACAGATTAAATGAAAAGCATTTCAGAGATGTCTTTTAGCTCTAACTTTGTTCAAATAGGAAGTTTACAGTATTTCAATGGAAGAACTGCCTAGAGACAGATAGACAGACAGAAATAGATGAAAGCAAATTAGTTTCAGTTTCTCTCAAAGTAATTGACAGGTGATGGTAACACATGATAACTTCTTTTCTCAAGGTAAATGAAAAGTAAACCTTGGAATGTGGCTTTCCCCGGAAAGCTCCTTCATCCAGGGAAAAGAATCTAGAAAGAGCAGTGCTCTAAAATACCCTCCCTTGCCATTTAGGATTTGAGTGACTGGAACATTTTTAACATAATTCATCAGGTTCATAGACCTTTATTTCATTTTTTAAAAGGCCTCTTAATTCTTTCTCTTTTTCCTTCTTGTGCTAACCTAGTTCTACCTACAGAGAAACATGATTTTGTCAATAGAAATAGAAATTCATACAGACATAGGCTATTCCAGAAATACAGTGGTATGGTTACATCTGAGGTGAAAAAAAAAAGATGAAATCATCCAACCTTTTAAACACTTATGTAAGAAGAAAGTAAAATCACTCATAAGCATAATGCACCAGAGAAAAATCACTGTTTATATTTTAAATTCTTTTTTTATCTTTCCTTAACTATCTCACATTTTTCTTTTGATATAGTCTTATTAGTTGCAAATAATATCTAAAAGATGCATTAATTTTCTTTAAAAATTCTATCATATACTTAAAGACGACCGAGATGAAAATGTATTCTAAGGAAATATTATAACTATACCCTCTAAGTTAGGGTGTTACTTATAAGAGGGTAGAATTTTATTTTTAGTCTTTGATATGTTTTACACAACCACAGTTAACCTTAGATAAACTTTTCCATTGCTTTGTATACCTGAAATACGCAGACTCAGATAAATACTTTTTTATGGCTCCTGTTGAAGTAGTTAATTTGAATTCACTCTCTATCTCTTGCAAATTAGAATATATTTTTTTAACATATTTTTTTAAGATTTTATTTATTTATTTTGGGGGAGGGAAGGGATAGAGGGGGAGAGAGAGAGAGAGAGAGAGAGAGAGAGAGAGAGAGAGAGAGAGAGAGAGAGAGGGAGAGAGAGAAACACTAATGTGCAGTTGCTGGGGGTTATGGCCTGCAACCCAGGAATGTACCCTGGCTGGGAATCGAACCTGGGACACTTTGGTTCCCAGCCCGCGCTCAATCCACTGAGCTACGCCAGCCAGGGCTAAATTAGAATATATTTTAACATCATTTTGGCAGCCCAATTTCACACAATCATCAAAAAAAAAATTCCTGGCTAAACAGCATTAGCAACCTGTTCGCAGTACTGTTTTCTTGGAATTGTCCTAGCCATGGGGCCCTCACATGACATCATAAGCCTGAGTCCTGAAGTTCCACAGAGCATCCGAATAATGCTCTGTGTGGGTTGAAGGTCAAAGAAGGGAAAACAAGAACCCACGATGATGTCTGGACACTGCGTCCACATGGTGCTTCTGTCACTGAGTAGTCAGGTTCCAAAAAGAGACTTAGAAAATTTTAAGGGGGGCAGTCCACAGGGTGGACACCTTGATTTGGGGTGCTGAGTAGGAGTCCCACCTGCATTTATCATTGATGGTCAAAGGATCTGTTGAAATTTAAAACCTGATGTTACCTAATGAGTTACATATTATTTCCCTTCCTCTATTTTGAGAAAAGTTAGCCTGAGATTTGATCTAAATTTGAAATTTCAACTCAATTTTTTATATAATGCTAAATTTTGAGATCTTACAAATTTCATTCTAGAAATGAATATATACCTATATATTAATAACCCAATAGCGTAATCACCTATTATTAAGATAGAAGCAGGTTTGATGCATTGATTTTTCTCTTATATGGATCATATAAATATTTTTTTTATTTCAAATAAGAAAAAATGGCCACGCTTTTGCAAACAACCCATTACTAAATAGGCCCTACAGTTACCTCATCACTGTGGAAAAATTATTTACAATGCAAGGAAAATGTCAATTATTATGAATATAAAACATAATTATTGTACCATTAAAGGAATAAATTTTATTACTCCTTAGTTCTGATTTAGGTAATTAACCCTCCACTTGTAACAAAATTTTCCTATTGTTAACTCAGCATAACTGTGACTCAGTTCAGGAGGCTTTCCCAGTTGAAGATGCTTCCATTGCAGAAGGTGACCGCTACTATTCTACCTCTATTTATCTTCTCTTCTCTTCCCTGGGCCTTCCACCATCTATTCTCACAGGTTGTAGCTTTAAACTATTCTCAGTTGACAATGCTATGTAAAAGGGTTAATATAAAGTCCTGGCCAAGAAGGGTCATGACTTGAAGGAATGAAAGAGAATATGACCTTTCTCCCAGAAGTAGACTTCTACTTAACTAGAGAAGCTCCTTCTCCTTTGACAGTTCTCCCTCCAGCCTAAATTGGCAAGAGATATCTTAAAGTATATCTTACTCCCCAACATGAAATTTTTAAAAAATTACATTTACAATAAAACTTTAAATAAATATAGTGATTTTTATTTATTGAATATTTATTGACTAACTTCTACAGATCAGATATTCTACTTTCACTTGTGATCAGTTATCGTACTTGAGAATGGGACTCATTCCAAAACAGGAAGCAAAAGAGAAACATTTATTTAGTCCCCACTATATGCCAGGCATTTTACTCAGAGGCCAACAAGACTAAGTACTAATCAGTGCTTAAACAAGTAATAACACCAATAGCCTCCTGATGTTTTTGCATTTTAATAAAAATTTAAGGGTACTCATTTCCAAATTCATGTACATTTAAATGCACAACTCTTTCAGTGGTCTGTGTTAATGTATGAGCTTGTCTGCTTTTTTACATATTTCTGTGTTAACATGTCTCCTTCATCTAACCATACATCCTGATCTTCCAGTGAAGTTGGTGGTAACTCGGGCGTTGATGATTACTGCAGATATTCTAGCTGGGTTTGGATTCATCACCCTGCTCCTTGGTCTGGACTGCATAAAATTCCTCCCTGACGAGCCATACATCAAAGTCCGCATTTGCTGTGTTGCCGGAACCACGCTGCTGATAGCAGGTACAGGTCTGAACTAGTGATAGACATCTGAGGTCTTGAGGTGAAGGAGAATGGCAATGTCTGAAGCAGTTCATTTTAGGATCCTATGTGACCTGCTTTCCTAAATTGAAGGAAGGAATCTTCAGCTTTGGAATCACACAGTTACATCTTTTTTGTTGTTATTAATATGACAGATCAAGATTTATCAAAGTCCTCAAAATATTTTTAAATATCTAAAAACTGTACAATGCTTTAATTTCAAAAGTTTTTATTGTGAGTATTCCTGAAGTTAAATTGTCAATTAAGAGCCAAGTTTAATTAAGCCTCCTTCCCTATACCCACCCCCACCAAATCTTTTTAGCAATGAACTAAATTGTGCCAAGTCCTACTTAGACTTTTCTCATGTGCCAACTCCTTCGATCATAAAGGACACAATATACAGATCATATTATTATCTTCACTTAAGAAGGAGATAAATAAATGGAGTACTGAAGATTATTAAATCAAACATGACTAATAAACCATAAGTAAAGAAACACTTTACATGGTGCTTTATTAGTGAAACAGCAAAATTGATATTTTACTCAGGTCTTTTAACCAACTTCAAAGCTTACACTTCCTCTATCAGAACGCGATGCCTTTGAAATTCTTTGAATCTTAATGAGCTGGGGTAAGTATCCCATTGAAGAAGCCAACAGCAAACACCCTCCAGAGACAAAACCATCTCCTTTTATGGTAGAAGCAAAAAGTTAGCAAAGTGAATGTAAGAGAGAGCCTGACCAGGCACTATAGGTAGTGAATGGATAGACTGGGGAACTAAAAATACTTGGAGATATACATGTGTGATGTGTGGCTTTAGATCTGTCACTGAACTTGTCCCCACATTCTGATGTGCAAAACAGCCTAAAGCCCCAGCAATAATATCTACTCTGAATTGCTATTGTGATGGTCCAATGTGGGCAGAGCAAGCTCAAAGCAGAGACCCTAACCCATCACAATTTAAAAACCAGGGTCTCCCTGATTTTTTCACACACAAACATTGAGTCAACACCCCTGATGATCCTTAGGTTGTGCTAAAAATTCTCAAGAATTTAGTTATTCTTCCTTTTTAAGACATGCATTCCCATATCCAGTCTAGTGATAACATAAAGCTTTTGTATATAGAAATATGTTTTAACAAATCTAAATATCACTTAATGCTTTACAATTTTGTTACAGAATATTTTTGAGACATCACTAGATACTCCTTTATTTATAATAAAACAAAAAATGAGCTAAATTTCAAAAAAACTGAGTCAATAAAGAAAATTCCTCTAGGAAAATCTGAAGAAAAAAATGACTAAATTAAATTGCTAGACATGGCCCAAGCCTTGGAACCATCATTCAATATTATCATGCTAATATATACTAGGGGGACCCAAAAATCCTGGAATTAGCTTCTGGGGGTCATGCCCTTTGCAGTATAGGCTTCATCCACTAGGTGAGTGCTCTGGGATCCCATCTGTATCAGTGTACCAGCTGACATTGTTGTGAGAGGCTGCATCTGGTTTCAGTGAATTTCTTTTCAAGACTTTCAGTGCATTTGCCCATTTCATGAAGGTTGATTTATGAGCACCCTTGCCCACACTACAGGGCTGTGTGTTCAGCAGTTTTCAACCAAAACCAGAGGACCCACATGCCCCACCCTCCCTATTCACCAGATCTTGCCCCAAGTGACATTTTTTTTGTTTCCCCGATAAAAACAGTCCTCAAAGGGAAACCTTTTGCCAGTGTAGAAGAGTGAAATAAAAGACATCAAAAGCACTAAAAGGCATCAAAATTGTTGAGTTCAAAAACTTTTGAACAGCAGAAAAAAATCTCAGTGGGTGTATTGCATTGGATGAAGAGTACTTTGAAGGTGACTTAAGTTTAAACATATAAGAATAAATATACAATTTCTTATAAATAAATTCTGGGTTGTTTTGGGTCCCCCCTCACATATTCTGTTTTTAAGTATAAGAAAGGAATTTCCATTCTAAACCTGTGTATTACTATATTATAGAAGAGGCAGATAATTTATACCCTGTTGTCTAAAGTTTATAGGATCAGGATCTGGTTCTTCTTAAAAATGTCTTACATTAAACTATTGGGAGAAGAATGTAATGAAATGTGGTTTAAATAGATATCACAAACTTCCTAGGACAAAATGTAAAAGTTATTTTGGATACTACAAAGTTCAGAAATACCCTTTTCACATAGCCTTTGATTCCTCAACTCCTCACTGTTTTTTTTTCCCCTTGCATCTAGGCCCTGACATGCAATTTATTCCTTAAAACAAGAGGACCTCAGTGGCATCACTTCAAGCCAGTTAATTATCAGATAGACTAATTTATGGGTATTAAATTTTATTAAAAAGGAATAAATTTTCTTAGTTTATTCTTATGTGTAGGGGTGATGGATAAGGGTTTATTTTAAAACAAAGACAATTTTTACTCCACCTACCACATTTTAACCACAACACACTAAAATTAATAACTTTAAAAACATGATTTCCATATGAGAGCTGGTTATGCAGCTGCTAGAGCTTCAACTGTGGGTCTGGGTAGTGGAGTCTGGGTAGCAGGGGAGAAATAGAATGCTATTAAAGAAAACTTCTACTTTCAATGAAAGTATTAATATAGAAAGGACATATGTTCTTTGTTATTTGTCTTGGATTTTGTGTCCTTCCTATTCTTCATATTTTTCTTTTGTTTTTAATATTTGTCTTTCTATAATACTAAAATAGCATTGGAAAGACAGAAAAATTAAAGAAAACCATAGTGACCATTTTAGGTTTACAAAAACAGATGAGAACTGCACTATTTTACTTTTGTATTTCTGAGATACAATTTGGAAGAAATATGAGATAGAAGGCCAAAGAAGCACATGAAAGAGGCAACCAAAATTTGAGTTGGTCATGAATCCATAGCATCATTAACTTACCTATAAATAATGTCACCTGTCATCTGTTTTGAGCAGCAGGATTTAAATCTGGGAAAGACCTGCATTATACTTTTGGATATTTCCTTTCTTTCAGGTGCCCCAGGAATTATTGGCTCTGTGTGGTATGCTGTTGATGTTTATGTGGAACGTTCTTCTCTGGTTTTGCACAATATATTTCTTGGCATCCAATATAAATTTGGTTGGTCCTGTTGGCTTGGAATGGCTGGGTCTCTGGGCTGCTTTTTGGCTGGGGCTGTCCTCACATGCTGCTTGTACCTCCTCAAAGGTAAGAACAAACTAAAAGAGCATATTTCCTTGTCTCCAGTACCATTTTTCCCAACTGAATAAAAACACATCTCCCCAGCCTAAACTAATGTTATTTACTTAATCTCTGCCTATTGCCATGAAAAATTTCAGTTGTTCAAGGACAACTGATTTCTAATACTCAAATCCGTTTACCCAGTTAGTGGCATATTTATCAGAAAATAAACAAACAAAAAAAACTCCCACAAAGTTACAACTGTGTCTAATATCCAAACATAGAATAATTACTTTAATGTGTCAGAATCTTACATGTCTTACTTCACCCAATCTGTTAAACTTATATCTAGAGTTAAACAGAGAAGTAGACTGAGAGCAAGCCAAATATTTATTGTTAAAGTGTAATTTGGTTTCTAAAAAATACCACTAAAAAAACAAAAAGGATTTCTCTCCTTATTAGGAAAAAAATGAAGAGAACATTTGGTTAAATTTTAAATCTAAAAATTACTTTCAGGATAAAAATCTGCATTGTAATCTACAGGTCTTCTTAGATGATTACTTCTTACAATATGTATATTCTTGCTTTTTGGGGGGAAGAATATGCAAAATGACATTATTTTATTTCCCAAAGTTTACTCAGCCATAGTTATTTTTATTCTTTACAATTACCTCCCTCAAACAGGTGTGGGACCTGAAAGGAACTATCCGTATTCCATGAGGAAGGCCTATTCGAAGGCAGCTGTTTCCATGACGAAATCATATGTGGCTCCTCGGACAGAGACCGCCAAAATGTATGCCGTTGACACAAGGGTGTAGAGTGCTGCACATCAGTCTGTGTTTATGTATTATTGAACTAATTGATTGATGAGTACAGGTGAATAAAATATTAAGTAAACCCAGAAAGAGTTATTTAAACTTCATGTTCAGCTAAATTAATTGTGCACCTTAATCAAAAAGTTTGTCACTTCTTTTTTCTATTATTGTCATATTCTTCTTCATTCTTTCTTCACACATTCTCTCTCTCTCTCTCTCTCTCACACACACACACACACACACACACACACACTTGCCTTGTATTTCAAGATGAGGTTGCTAGGATATAAAAATGGTTGCTTGTTATTTCTTTATTGCTGTTAGGGATTGTGACATGGTAATATTGAAATAAAATTACCCTTTATAAATAGAAAGCAACCTTCAAAAGAGGCCGGAGATTCTCATCTTTGAAGGGATGGATGAGCTCTTAGCTCTTTCCCTGGTTTTTGCTTCACTTTTTGTATTCTCAACTGAATGAGTTATTTGATAACTTTAAAGAAGATGATTCTAAATTTAAGTTAGTATGCCAGTGCCTACTATTGCTCTCATTCTGTTACAAGAGAAAAAAGAAAATAGCTTTATGTGCCAGGCACTGGTGGGAGTTAAAGATAAGAAATTTCCCCTTCACACTCCAAATGTCAAAAGCAAATGCTAAATTAATTCTGGAGTCAGTGGTGACTTTCTTCCTCAGTAACAATGTAAGAGACCTATATATTGTTGTCATTGCTCCCTGTTTGCTTATATTTTGCCAAATTATTATACTTTAGCAGCAATAACTAAGCAAGCAGTTCACTCATTTATAGATTGGACATCTAAATATATTTTATGAATGCATCATATTAGAGTTCACTAACTCTAGTGTCCGCTCACAACTAGATCGTCAACCCCCTAGCAAAGTATCTGATATATGATAAAATATAACAAATATTTGTTGATTGAAATAAATAAAGCCTTACAACTCTTTACTTAAATAATTTTTCTCATAAAATATGCTTTTTTAAAAAAATGTTGAAATTATGTATATATTTAAAGAAATCAGTGAATGATTGCTAATGGGATTAATCCATATTCATAATGTAATCATCTTGAATTTTTAAATGGTAAACTATTTTAAAAGGTTATAAAATTTAATCTCAGACTCTGATTCCTTGTATTTCACATGAATAGCATTAATCTCCTTGTACTATCTTAATGAATTTTTGACTATATTGGAAATTACTATTTTGAAAAATGGAAATTTAGTTGTGAATTTCTAAAGACCCCAAAGAAGTATTTAAACTAAAAAAAAACCCCTAAAAATAATTTGGAAATGAGATGATGAAAGCCTAGTAAATAAATATATTATTGTTGTTGAGAATGGCATTTATGATTTCAAAAGGTATTTCTTTACCAGTGTTCTCAGGAGAAGTTCTAATCTAATCTTAGAATTAAGAACAACTGATTCATTTATTGAATGGGTGTTATTTCATGGGTGTTATTAACTGTATAATTCACATACAAAAAAATTATTTGTAGGTCAGATGTCCTAGTCACATGGGTATTATTCTATGCATTTTAAAACTTATTTTGTCTTGATATTTTTCCTCAACCTTGTTTTTTCAAAGTTTATTTTCACTTTTACTTTATGACATATTATCTGTTTTCTTTTGTATATTCCAATGTGTCTCTTGAAATCCCTCTGGAGAGGAGGAGGATAAAAATGAATTAAGTAGCTCTTTAAATTTTAAAGTTACAAAATTTTTTCTCCTTAAACATTTTATTTGTAAGAAGAAATATTTCAAAGGATTATGGTGATAATTGACTTCTGTGACAGTTTTGAATTTTTTCTCAATAAAAACATTTTGTATATTCTGGGAGGAATATTAGTTTTTTTTCCTTTAATTACCTTGAGAACATTTCCTTCTAATTTATTATAATTTAATAAAGCATCTTCAAATAAAGCATAACAAAGAATATATTTTGTATTGCAACTAGCTAACAACAAATCAAATATTGAATAGTGAAGAAGTAATCATTGACATGGTGGTAGCTGAACATGCTTAGAAAGAAAAAATAAGTCCAAAGTGTACACATATACAATTATTAGGTGGAAACATTAAAATGATCTACTAAATTCCGGGTACTGTAATTTAGCCATGTCCAGGTAAATGCAGTAAAAATAAAAAATTATAAATTTGGATAATTTTATTTACCTGAAACTTTATCAACTATTACTTTCTAATATCACATTTTTAATTAAAACTAGACTTCTATTATTATAAAAGCTGTATGTGTACATTGTAGATAGTGGGAAAGCACAAACCAGAAATACATCTTGTTTAAATGGCAGGGCACCATATTCTCTCTGTGTAGATCACCATTACTCCTAAACCTTGTTGAACATCTGCAACCCTTCCAGATATTATGCATTTATATACATACACACAATGACACATATATATGTGTATTTCTTTTTTAGGAGACCATTCTACATGTGTTGCTTATAGTCATCTTTTCCCTTTAACTCTCTCTGCCTTTTCTTAGCAATAACCTTATCTAATAACTGATCCATATTTAAATTTCCTTAAGTTACTTAAAATTCACTAATACAGCTCACCTGTCCAAACCAGGACCTACATTTCCTCTGGTTGTTATGCCTCTTAAGTCTCTTTCCTGCAATAAAAGCCCCATGTTTCTCTTGCTTTTAGCCTTGGAGCACCTTCTCCCTTTCCCAATTCTTACTGCTAACATTCTTCTTTTCTCCAATAACACATCACTTCTTCAGGGAGCCCTCCCTGACTTCCATCAGACTGGGTTAGATATTGGTACACCTCTAACATCCAAGGGCTCTCCTTTATAATTGTCCTCATGGCACTTCACTTATGAGTGAAGCATCTTGTTTCGTACCTCAATTTCCTATAAAGATTGCATGCTCTAGTGGGAAACACATTTTCTACTTTGTGTACTGCTCTATTCCCAGCATCTCACCCAGTGGCTGATGCACAGTAGGCCCTCAGTATATATTTTTGAACAAATGAGTGAATGAATGGCAACAACACTCTGACCAGGAAAAGTAATAAATTCATTGCATGTAATTTATCTGCTTATTGTATTATTCCTTCCCTTATTTATATGCATAGATTTGGGCAGTTTTATTGAAAGGTCAGCTCTGTGTTTTCAAGCAGCTTTGGGGACAAAGACATTAAAAAAAGTTTAGAGTGCAATGAACTAATTGCTATGATGTAGGTTTATAGAAAATGCCATAGAAAAAGCCATCTCTACATCTGCTGGTGGAGTCAGGGAAAGCTTCAGAGAGGAGGAAATTTTTTAGTTCAGTAAATAATGGCGATGGAAAAGAAGTTAAGAGAATAATTCTATGCAAAGAGATCATGCACAAAGAAAGAGAATCAAGAGAGGACATCTAATGTGCTAAAAATTACAAGCAGTTCCATGTCCTCAGAGCATAACTGGAAGGAAGGAGGTTTTTGTATTCACATACTACTTTAAAATGAAAACCAAGAGAAGGCAGCACTTTCCCTCTTTCCAAGGTAGGAAAATTGAAGATGCTTGCTAAAAGCCCTCAATGTTTTTGAAACTCAGAAATAATTGGTCTAAGTGAATAATGCTGCCCCCTGATGTACTGTAGTTAATTAGAATACAATATAATTCACAATTCAATATGGATTAACTTATGTTTCCATTCAAAAAAGCTGGTAATTTGTCATTTAAAGTTTTATTAAAATAATATTTATTTTTTTAAAACATAAAAAGATAAGGATGAAAACATACAAGCTAAACACATCAGTTATCTCAGCACCCAGAGAATCTCTGGAGTTAGAAGAAATATATACATGTATAAAATATATACTTTATGTATATTTATGTACATTAAATGTATATATTTAATATGTACATTTTTGAAAAATTTATAGTATGGACTTGTAAACATTAAACAACATCTCTCTTACTCATGTCTAAGTTCCCACCACTATTCCTCTCCTGAGAGAAGTTCTTGTGGCCTTTTAAACAAAATTATTGAAATATATATACAGAGCCTTTGAAAATGTATACAGGATACTATTACATTATGTTTTACCTTCAAAAATAAAATTATTAGTTAAATATGTTTATTGACAGTTTTCCATGTCACATCATTCTTTTTAATAGCAGTACAGTTCATTGGTCATTTGTACCCTTATTTTTCTAATCTGTTCCCTTAAATATCTCCATTATTTCCACTTTTGCTATTATAGACAGCATTGGAATAGATCTTTCTTTTAAAAACATATTTGCCTTTCTGTGGAATGAAAGTTATAGAATTATTTTCTAACTGTGTCTTAAAGTAGAAATACTGAATCTGTGTAAATATGTATTATTTTGATAGTTATGGAACAGAAAGAGTTCATCTACCCAGTGCTACAGAGCCAAAAGGTAGACACCAAGAGTTGCAGTGGATAAAGATTGATTATTTTATTATGAATGGAACCACCCAGGAGAAAGGGAAGTTAATTCTCAGAACCCCAAACTGTCGGATGGCATATGGGTTAAAGATTATATAGAGCAAAATCACAAGACACAATGTGTTAGGAGTTGGGGGTCCTGGTGAGAGCTGATTGGTCAAAGGTGAGGTAAGAGTAATGAGTCATTTTTTTAGGTCTCGAGAACAGCTCTGAGGTTTTTCCCAGTCTGTCTGGTTTCATGGGAAAGCAGCTGTGGGGTCTGTCTAACTTAGGCTCAGGAACTGAAATGTAATGTTGGGAGCATATGTTTGTGATACAGTCTTTCCTGTAAGCTAGTCTTCAGTCCTCACTCCGATGTCTGATCCAGGCCTGCCGAACCGAGAGCACGAAGCCACCCGAACTACCACCAGTCCTACAGGTGACACTGGCACCGAGAAATAACAGGAAGCCAACACAGGTGACTGTACTATTCACTCCGATTTTATTAATGCAGGTTCACTCAAATTTATTAATGCAGATTTAATCCAAATCTATGCTAACCTAATAACAATAATAATCACTCAGAAACAAACAATAATAACGTCACATGAGAGATTTGGGGGATTACGAACCCAAGTCCCAGAGTCTCAGTCCGTGGGTCTGGGAGACAGTATAGTGACCAAGGGAGCCGTCAGCATCTTGCAAGAAAAGCTCTCTGGAACCAGGTGGGTAGTAGGGCAGACAAAGGCCTCAGTCCAGTAGGGCAGAGCCTCTGGCGGCTGGTGCCAAGGGCAATCAGTGTAGCCTGGAGCAGCACTCTGGTGTGTGGAGCTCGGCTATCTCAGCAGTGGTCTGGAACCTGCCTCAGTTTGACCCTGGAAAGTGGTGTACTCCACCCTTCTGGGTCTCTTGATAAGTGTCTTGGCTCCCTTGACGGTAAGTGGGGAATTTGTAGGGGAGCCTACCTGTGGGTGATTCGCTCTGCAGACTTGGCTGTTCTGGTCAGGTGTGCAGATATCTTAGGTGTGTCTCTTTGCCAGATGTGTCTAGCACGACTTAGGTAGTTTCCCTCTTGAACCGAAGTGTCAAGGCTGACTGGCAGGTATCCTGGTTGACCTGAATGACTCCATTTTGTTCTATAAAATTTTTGCTATCTTGATCAGACAAACACCATTTTATTGGTCTGGCTCTCCACATGTAACTTAGGTCAAGATGTTATCTTTAGTCTGCCAGAGGTCGAAACCCTGTGACCCCTACTCAGGTCCAGGTGACTGTCTACACTGTCTTCTGCTGCCTCGGGGGTGCTGATCATCAGGGGTGAAAGGTTAGGTCTCTGGGGAATATATATGTACATATATACATGTATATATATATCAGGATTTACAACTAAATTTTGTCAAAGTCATAAAGTCATAAGGACACTCAGTTTCAATACATGTAGCAACTAAATTGGCCTCCAAAAAATGTAGTAATTTTACATTTCCACCAGAATTTTATAAAAGTATTTGTTTCCCCACATCCTTATCAACACAAGAAATTAGCAGTCTTTAATATTGTTAACATTTTATGGATAAACATGACATTACATTGGTGTATTCTTTTGCATTTATTTAATTAAATTGAGCATAGTTATTCACCTTCTAAAATAATCACTAATTTTTTTACATACTTATTTCTGCAGGTGAAAATTGTAAGTTTTTTTTTGTTTTTATTACCATGCTATTGTGTATCTCCAATTTCAAAGCTTTTCCAAATGTGTTATAATTACTGTCAATGGTATTTAAAATATTTTTGATGGTACATTTAAATACTTTTATTTTATAGACATCTATCAGTTTTTATGTGGATTTAGAAAAGTGCCAGTCTTGCACTTATGATACTGTAGCAATCACCAGCTGGCAGTGACCACAGAACACTGTGGATGGCTCATCAACACGTGAGAAAAACATACACAGAGACAACCAAGTCCTATGGGGAAGTAGGAACAGAATGGCCACCCTCTCTGGTGGGGAGAGCACCCGGGCCACTCCTCACGTGGGGAGTGCCTCGTTCCCCCTCCAGAGAGGCTTTTTATTGGTTTCATTTGAATAAGAATTCAGGTAAAAGCTCATTACTCATTGCTAGGAAGTGAGGATCAAACAATAGGTAGCAAGGAAGTCTGAGGGCCTATTTTGAGTCGGGGTCAAAGAGCTGTAAAACTTTAAAGAACAAACTTAATTCTTCTTTGGACCCTTATCATTCAACTGAGAGCATTCTAAACAAAGCAGGTTTCACAGGATCTTACATATTCTTTCTTAGGCCTGATCACCTGGGCAACCCGCCCTTTTCAGCACAGAGCTGCACCACATTGCCATTGTTTCAGGCTTAGGTGGAGCAAGGGAAGTAAGGCAGCCAAGGAATAAGGAGATTTTCTCCCAGATGAGGAGGATTCAGGCTATATCACAGCTGAGGAGCGAGGGTTCATCACCCCCTTTTGCTGTAGCCCCCAAACTCCTTTCTTGGGGGCCTCCCACATGATCGTGCCTGTCTTAGGTCATTCCCTCCTTGGGGAATCTTACCCGTCATTGGCTAACTGACCAAGCACTGGGGTTCAGTTATGAATGAAGCAGCAGAAGCAGCACTCCTGCCAGGGAGATAAGCTTTTGTCTCCTTGCTGGCTTACGGTCCAAGGCCACTTCCTCAGCCTTAGCCTAGGTGGTGGTTACAGCTTCTGATACCAGGCAGGGCAGTTCCCAACAATGATACAATTTAAAGTTTCCATTAAAAAATATTTAAGTTTGACACTTAGTTGTTTTAAAAATACATTAAATAAAAATAAGTTAAAAAATGCTTTTCCAGTATATCAGAAATGAGAAAACCCATATTTGAGTGAATGGACTTTGGCATCCAATGGGTTAATCAATGCAGTATTCTTTAAATAAAATATACTCTAAGCAAAAGTTACAATAGTTTATTAAATTTCATTGCTCATTAAAAACAAAGGAAAAAGAAGAAGGAGGCAGAAGAAGAAGAGGAGGAGGAGAAGAAAAAGGAGAAGGAAAAGGAAAGCCATAAACTAGATTACAGTTAGCAAGTAAAAAAATGGACATATGCCCAAATTCAACATATACACTTTCCCCAGAGCCCTAAAAAAACAAGACTATTTACTTATGTGCTCCTGTGTATAATATGCACCCACTTTTTTGGCCCAAACTTTCAGGAAAAAATCTTTCATTTACTTTTTAATTCAATGTTATTTATTTACATTTGGGTACTTGTTTTTTATTATAAAGGAATTTTAGCATGCATTTTTAACATATTATAGTTAGTACAGGAAATTTTATATAACAAATAATTGCAAAACACAAGAACAGATATGAGGTATTTCAGGTACTACTCATGTATAATGTGCATCCTTATTTTTCCCTCAAAAATTTGGGCAACAAAAAGTGTGCATTGTACACAGCAAAATACAGTTTTTATTTGACTATATAAAGCAGATCTCAGAAAACATATCATTTCACTCATAAACACTTCATTATGTGTGTATAATAGATAAGGAGTTTTTAACAATATAACCACAAGTATTATCACAGCATCAATAATGAACAATTTCTTAATATAAATTTTTCCAATGTCTATATTTAGTTCCAATTGTCTGAAAAATTCCTTTACAATGTGGTCTCAAGTTGAAAACCCAAAATTATTTACACTTTGCAGTTTATCGATAGACTCTTATACAAAATACTGTAATTTTAATTTTTATAGTCTCTATTTGAACAAAAATTTAGGAGACTTTTGAAAAATGCCAAGTACTATAACATTTTCTTTGCAAAAAACATAACTGCTCCCACAAAACTGACAGGTTAAATGTTTGTTGAAAATACGTAGGGGGATAGGGAAGGAAAAAATTGGAGTTGAAAAGGAAAATGGAAGTTTAAAAGTAGGGAAGGAGATTCTTTTATGAAAAAGACATTGTACAGGTAAAGGGAAATAAAGCCAACAAAATCCAGCTCTTTCATGGTCTTTCTGAATCTGCTGAAGGAAAGACTGAATAGAGGTGAAAACCTGAGGAGGGTTGTTAAAATCATCAAACTTTTTTGTTATTTTCTAAATTAAGTCTTTGTATGCAAATTATAGCTCAAAGAATTATGGGGGGGAGTTGAGAGATGGTCTAGTTACAAGTCATAGTTTTCCTTTTGCTAAATTAAAACAAACATTGTATAATGTCTTTGTGAAGCTATTGAATGGGATATATTAATTGATTGGAGGGATTCCATTTTATTGAAGAAAAGTTTGAAGTTTAGTAATCAAAAACAAATTAAACTAATTTGTTTAATATAGCAGAAACTGAAGCAGTCAGCAAACTTTGTCAAAAACAGACTAAAAAAAGGAGTAAAATTAAGAAAATGCATTCCAAATGTTGGAATATCAGGGAACTACAAACACAGAGGTGCCTCAATCTCATGGAGTTAATATTCCAGTAATGGCTGTTCTGAGCATATGCCAGATATTGGTGCCTTCTCAAAGAAATCCTCTCCTTATGCTAATAAAATTATGGTAAAAACTGCATTTATAAAGTAAACAACTCTCTAAAGCATTAAACTGTTTACTTTTGGTCCCAAACACATATACTGGAAACAGTAAAACTAAAGCCCTGCAGTGACACAGAATCACCCTTTTCAATGACCATCTATCGTTATTGAGTGTGTCCCATGGCAGCTGCCTCTTACTTTCAGCAGCTTATGAAATCATTCCTTTCAACTACATACTCTCCTTTAAAAAAAATCCTTATATCTGCAGAAAGACCTTAGCACCCTAGAAATGTGTTGCTGTCTTTAAGAGATTGACACCCCATTCTCTCATCCTACTCTCCTTATGTAGCATTGACTTATTTTGTTGGCTTTTTCACAGGTGACAAGTTCCCTACGCGATACCAAGTAAATATGCCATTGTTCACCAGGCTTTCTTATTTTGTCTCTCAATATTCTTCAATAAAAAAATAATAGCTCCCATGCCTATAAATCTAGAAGGCAATTAATCAGTGATACCTAAGACTCTAACATTATAAATTTATCCAGATTTAGATATACAAGAGATAATAATCTGGATTGAAACATGATGTCAGTTTTCATGTGATACAAAAATAAAAACTGATTCTTTATTAAATATAGAGAGATATAATTAACTTAATTACTAAAGAAGAGGAAATTCTCTTAGTTTGATTATTGCATCCCTTAAACGATTTTCCAAAGAGAAAAGCCTCTGCCAATAAGATAATAAAACTAAGAAATCTGTATTCATTGATAATTTCAACCTTCATTCATTGATAATTTCAGTGCTTCTGAGCAATACCATTTTTCAACTTGTTCCTATAAAAATCTGACATCTTGACTGATACACTTTATTTGCTTTGTGAGTCAGATGGTCAGTGAAGACTGGCATGATTTTAGAAGGAAAAATAAGTATTTTCTAAATTCATAAATATAAATAAATTTTGTTTTATCACCAAACTATTCCATTTTATAAACAGATATACTTTTATTTCATTTTCCAAAACTATATTTAGTAAAATAACAAAAAGCTATACTATTTTCCAGGATCCAGTATTAAATAGAAAAAGTTAAACAAACCTGTATAGATTTAGTTTGTTTAAAATCACAAAGCAAAATGAATTCAAAGTTAAAAGATTCATTTATAATGTATAATCTACATTTCTTTTTTAAAATTGTTTTTCAAGTATAGTTGTCTCCATTTTCCCCCATCCCCTGCCTCCTTGACCCACAACCCACCCCCCCTCAATCCTACCCACCTTTGGCATTGTCCACGGGCCCTTTATACATGTTTCTTGATGACTTTTCCCCTTCTTTCCCTCATTAGCCCCCTTGCCCCTCCCCTCTGGCTACATCACTTTGTTCTTTATTTCCATGTTTCTGGTTATATTTCAGATGCTTATTTGTTTTGTTGATTAGATTCCACTTAGAGGTGAGATCATATGGTATTTGTCTTTCACTGCCTGGCTTATTTCACTTAGCATAATGCTCTTCAGTTCCATCCACTCTGTCATGAAGGGTAGGAGCTCCTTCTTTCTTTCTGCTGTGTAGTATTCCATTGTGTAAATGTACCAGTTTTTTTTGATCCACTCACTTACTGATAGGCATTTAGGTTGCTTCTAACACTTGGTATTGTAAATTGTACTGCTATGAGCATTGGGGTGCATAGGTTCTCTTGCATTGGTATTTCAGGGTTCTTAGGGTATAATCCCAGCAGTGGAATTGCTGAGTCAAAAGGCAGTTTCATTTTTAGTTTTCTGAGGAAACTCCATACTGTTTTCCACAGTGGCAGCACCAGTTTGCATTCCCACCAACAGCACACTAGGGGTCATTTTCCTCCACATCCTCTCCAATACCTGCTGTTTGTTGGTTTGTTTATGATGGCCATTGTGACCACTGTGAAGTGGTATCTCATTGTGGTTTTAATTTGCATCTCTCTGATGGCTGCTGATACTGAGCATCCTTTCATATGTCTCTGGGTCCTCTGTATGTCCTCCTTGGAGAAGTGTCTGTTCAGGTCCTTTTCTCATTTCTTGAGTGGGTTGTTTGTCTTCCTGGAGTGGAATAGTGTGAGTTCATTATATATTTTGGAGATCAAAATGTTTCTTTTTCTTGTTCTGATTTTTAAAATATTCTATCAAAAGTGGGTTCTCATAGCCAACACATGTTTATTGTCTCAGTTTCTCTTATATAATCCTGAAGTATTTCACAGTTTGCCTTAAATATAATATTCTGGTTGAGTTTCATTGCATTGTCCACACGAAGGATTTTCAATTCTATCCCAGCTCTATTTCATTTCTGTGAAAGATTGAATTTTAAAGTTGTCTTTTATAAAAGTTGTACCTAAGACAAAGGAGAACAATTGGAACTACAAAACTGAAAATTAAAGAGGAACTTGTAGTCAGGTAAAAAAAAGCTGGACCCCCAGGGTCAGTGCTGTAGACGCCACATACCATATGAGCATTTTACATACACATTATGCTTGTTTTACAGGCCTCTCAAACTCTTTGGTTTCATCCTCATGAGAGGGAGTGCACGTCAGATTTCGTAGACAGACTCTGGTGACAGGCGTCTCCCCTAATGTTCAATTTCATTGTTAGCAATATGAGCTGAAGTCCTAGATTTTTCTCTGCAGCTTTGAACCTCATGATTAATATAGTCTTCCAGGGTTTATAAAAAATCTGAGATTAATAGTAATCCAGCTGCATGGTTTCATTTAACCACTAAATCAAATCTAGTTAATGGGCTGGAATCACAGATAGGCTTTCATGCCCTCTGCTGGATATTGAAGGAAAAAGCTCCACCTTCAGTAGTAAGGAAACCTCATTTGAGAAAAAGAAGGCTCTTTAATATGGGAAGAAAAAAAAATCTACTACTGTCAGAATTAAAATATGACACACCAGGTTAAATACAATATTAAAAATTTATTGGTGAACCTTAATTTTAATGCAGGCAAAGATTTCCAGAGATGAGATGACAGAAAAGGAACACAGGTTTATCTTGCTAAATTTCTTTTCAAATGTGTCATGCTAATTCTATAATCTAAATTAGGTTTATTATTGTAGAATTCTCAGCAGTTTTCAGTGGACCCTAAAGAATTTCTGCTACAGAACTCCCCAGTCTCTGGTGGTCAGAGCCAAGTGGTAGAAATTGTAGTGCCATTACAAATAATACCTGAGTAAGTTGGAGAAACGAATTCAGACTTTGTACAGTAATTAGCACATAACAGTTATTCAGTAAGTATTACTTAGGCAATAAATAAAAATGTAACCTCTGATATTTGATGAGATATCTGTCAGAAAACTTTCTATTAAAACAAACTCTTTTGCTACCAATCCTATGCACCTGCTTAAACCCTATCACCACCTCTCCTCCTCCACCCAGAAAAATAAACCAGGCAACCAGAGGCCAAGCATATACCCTGTTTAGACTTACTCTGACACATAAATGCAACTCTCCTAAAAATACATGCTGATCACTTGAACCTGGACTTTCACTAACTTCTGACAACTGCAGCTGCTGAATCATTAGCCCCATTTCCAGATGTGCTTACACTTTCCTAGGTGTTAATTACAACTGTTGACTGAGTGTTCTGTAAGTGGAATGGATTTTAACACACATAACTTTTAGGACATGAACACAAATTCAGAAACATGAATAAAAAATAAAATCATCTGTAGCCCCACCATTTAAACACATTTACGTTTAACATTTTTCTGATAGTGTGACTTTGTTTGTTTGCAATTGCAAGCTATAACCTTGCCAACATTTATTTAACTTTATATTTCTTTTAAATTAAAGTAATGCATGCCTTTCATTTTAAAAGACAAATAGTGTTGTGGGCCTATGATTAAAAACAACAATGAAAAACAGCATTATCCTGCTCTACCTAATCCCCATAACATTATCTCTAAATCTTGTTTCTTGAGGTAATTATGTTCTTTCTTTTTTTTTTTTCAAATCCTTACCCCAGGATATGTTTATTGATTTTAGAGAAAGAGAAAGGGAGAGAGAGGGAGAAAAACATCCATTTGAGAGAAAAACATTGATCAGTGGCTTCCCTTATATACCCTGATGGGGGATCAAACCCACAGCCTAGGTCTGTGCCCCAACCTGAGATTGAACTTGCAAGCTTTTGGTGCACAGCACAACACACCGATCAACTGAGCCTCCTGGCCCAGGCAAGGCAATTATTTTCAATTCTTGAGTGTTTTGCTTCAGGTATTTGTGACCTAATTTCCAAAAGCAGTGCTTCACCATTATTTTCTGATTTTTTTAAAAATTTAGATGTTATTTACTGACTGCACATAATCTGAAATTCGAATTCAGCTTTCTTATTCTAGTCTACCATCTTCCTTCACACACACTCCCCCCTCTGCCTAGTTTGTCAATATGAATAGCACCTGTTTTAAAACTCAGTACTAATTATTTGCATTATTTATAGCTTGAACATTTTTGAGGAATTAATCCAACTTTTTGTTTTTCTCTTTCTGATTCTGGCTCTGCACATGTCTGAATTTCTGCTTGAGTCATAATTAAATTATGATAATTTTTATAAACTCTATATTAGGAACAAGGTCAGATTAAAACAGAGATACTGAGGCAGACAAAGCTGTGATATGTACTAGAATGGAATCCTAAATTTACTGGAGGCCACTCTGAGCATTAATTACTGAGCATTAATGAAGAAACATTGATTTAGTTACATAGCAAAAAAGTATACCACAGCAGTGATACATTGAATCCACTAACTTACTACTGAAACATTTTCCTGACCAAAATTCTTTCCCTACATTCATTCTTTTTCTATTTGTCCTTTCTCAGGTTATGTTAATAGATCTCTGGAAATTCCCGCTCAATAAAAAAAAACTGTTCCTAAATTTGATGTTTTGGACTGAAAACATCTCTAACGTTTTCAGTTGGCGATCCAGATCTAAAACTGGCTTGATTTCAGAATTTCTTCGTATGGAGGAGGGGGTCCTAAAGTGTTGAAACACGCAGCAGGGTGCAGTGTGGGGATCTGTGTTTGAAGGTGGATTCCAGCAGTTGGATTCACAGCTGCTTCTGCCCCTGGAAAGAGCAAGATGGGGATTTATAATCTTTCTACTCAGTATAAAACAGATGTGCATGAAGTACCTAGCAAAATCTGACATTTCTTGAATCACTGGAGCAACAGAAAATTGTTTGTGCACTTGAGGAAAAAACTTGCAATCATCTCAGTCACTATAGCAAGAAAATTTGCTCTCAAGGACTGATTACAGTAGCCCAAGGACTGATTACGCCCCTTATTTGTGGTTTTGCTTTCCACAGTTTCAGTTACCTGAGGTCAATCATGGTCCAAAAATAATAAATAGAAAATTGCAGAAATAAATCATTCAGAAGTTTTAAATTGCTGTTCTGAGTAATGTGATGAAATCTCAAGCCATCTCGCTCAGGCCTGTGCAGGATGTACACCATCCCTTTGTCCAGCATATTTATGCTGCATATGATATCTGCTCGTTAGTCTCTTAGGAGCCATTCTGGTTACCTGACTAACAGGTACCAGAGTGCTTCTGTTCAAGTAACCCTTGTTTTACTTAATAATGTCCCCTAAGCCATTCATATAACTCTTATTACATATAAGTCATTGTTATGACTGCTCTATTTTATTGTTATTATTGTTAATCTTACTGTGTCTCATTTATAAATGAAACTTTATCATAGGTATGTCTACATAAGGAAGAAATACAGTATATATAGTGTATACATTCGGTACTATCCGCAGCTTCAGACATCCACTGGGAGTCTTAAATGTATTTCTTGCACGTAAGAAGGGACTACTATATACCATCATTGACTAACCCATCAAAAAGTATTTACAGTTTAGCAGCCAAAACTAAAAGAAATACCATTTCTGGTAGATCAGAAGACAAAATTCTTGTACACAAAGGTGGCATTTTAGCTAATGCTCTTATTATGGGAAATGTAAATTTTACTTAAATTATTAAAATATTCCATTAAATATTATATCTGAACTTCATCATTTTATATTAATGACCTGGAAACTGCAACTAATGAAAGTAATTACTTAAAAGTTATTTATAATCAATAGTCAAAATATTAAGTTGTGAAAAGTTTGCAACTAAAGTATACACACAGAATAAAGAAAAGGCAATCTTAAACTTTAAATCAAAGTTCTTGATTTTTAGATAATGCATACTACAAGCCATTAAATATAAAAGCCAAGCATTTTCTTTATCAGATTGATCACCTCAAGTGACCATTCACTTACTCCAAAAGCTCTTTTGGAAATTTCCTATTGTGTTTTCTTGAAAGGCTATTTTGGAGTTGCAGGAAATCAATAGTGATATTTTATAACCATCTCTCTTTATATTTTTTCCTTTTTTCACATGGGTCTTTACCTGTCTGGGAATGATTTTATTGCTTCTTCCCAAAACAATAGTAACAACCTTCAAAAAAGAAACTAGGCCCTTGACCTAAACAGTCAAAGTTTTTGACTGCTTTTGTATATTAAATTTAACTGTAACACAGCCATGCCCATTCATCTACACATTGTCTCAGGCTGCTTTTTTCTGCATTAAAATGGCAGAAGTGAGAAGTCCCACAGAGACTATATATGGCCTGTGAAGTCGAACTTATTTTCTATCTGGCCCTTAATAGGAAAAGCTTGCTGCTCTCTTCCTTTAGAGGATTAAGATTTGATACCATCAGGTAGATTCCAAAGACCACCCCACAGTTATCAAAACAATTTAGAATAACCATATATTGGGCAATAGCTGCATCACAGGAACCCATCTATAGATTGTTCAGAATTATTACTTTGGAGCAGATAACATTTATTTAGAATCATGGACTTTCATATATTTGTTTTATTTTGTAGTCACTGATTTGTAAAACAAAGCATAATAACCCAAATATTAACATAATGTGTGAAAGGCAGAGTTATATTTAGAATATATCTTACCTCCTGGTTCAGCACTTTTTTAAAGAAGTTATTTATTAACTTGAATAATCTACTCCTAGACTACTACATAAACTTTCTGTTTTTGTTTTCTTTCACATAATAAAAGGATTATGATAGTATCTACATCTATAAAAGCAGCTAAATAATGCAAAGTGCTTAAAGCCTGGCACATAATAATTATTAATTAACATTTAATTATTATAATTATTACTATAAGTATTAGCATTATTAGTATATATAAGTAACTATACTATGCTAGAAATATACATATTTTCTTTTACTTACAATATATTTCCCAATCTATCCTGTTTTAATGGTCAGTATTTTAATCATTATCGTTATTATTGTTACAACAGACATTATTAAGTAAAAAATTTTGTGGCGTTAGCATCTCTTGCAGTTAGGAAGTTTAGGATGACATAAGCTAAGTCTGAGGGACTTGATAAAATGGAGTTAACATTAATTAAGTGTGCTTGCCCCAGCACTTCCTTGCCTTGTGGGTACTTGTACTGAGCACCGCCCATTTTCCAGGAGAACTGCTCCTGGAGTGTTCAATACAAAGTCAGTGGTAATTTAGCTATCATTCTGCCTGGAGTAGTCAACCAGATTGATTCACAGTTAATAAATAGCTCAAATGGTTCCCGCCACTGTCATTATCCATACTGTGGTCCAGGCAACAGGATGTGGACAATTTCCCTCTGTGGCAGGAAAGTTTTATTGTTACCTCCTTACTACAGATTTGGCTATTGCTCTTAAACTTGCTATAAAAGCCATAAGGCACTCATTTAATAAACATAACTGAGACAATGCATTCAGAGAACTCTTGCAAAATCAAACATATATCAGTTTTCAATTTTTTTTCAAAGCGTGTGTATGTACAATATCATGTGATTGGAAAGGAAGCAACCATTATTTTTATTTTTTGACAAATTAAGTATCTGAGAGAAATCAATTACAAGTTTCTGCAAAAATCCTATGGTTTTGACAGAACGGGTAGTGAAGGTATTAGAGTCTGTTGTTTAATTGTGTGAAACCAATACCCTCATTGCTGAGCTTTTAATAGGCAGATTTCAGATTTCCCACACAATTAAGAATCACTCCAATGAACTTGGCTTATTTTAATACGCTCTTTCTACCTCTTTTTTTTTTTTACCTTTTCCTTCTTTGTTTCATCCCTTTCTTTTATATGGGGCAGCTAAGAATGCCTGATTTTGAGTCACAATTCTTTCATCTAGTAACTTAATCTCTAAGTGCCTTTGTTCCAACATCTTTAGAATGTTCAAAATGATAGTGACCCCCTCACTGAGGCAGAGGGAAAAACAAATGAATTCAGAGATGTCAAGTGTTAACACAGAGCATGACACAGGGTAAATGTTCAATAAATGTGAGCAGTTACAATTACCATGCTTTACCCTGAAAGTGTGTGAATAAAATACTCTCCCTCCTCACCTAAATGAATCACAGAATATTTATATGTAAAACAAAGTATTGGGAAGTGACATTAAAAATGACAGGATCCTGGGTGTGGTGGGGGGAGAAGGGAGCTGAGTGTAAGGCCTGCTCCTGCCTCTCTCAGTCCAGATCTCCTTCCCCTCTCAGACTTGGAGCATTCACATTTAATCACTACAGGAAGACTGGTGTTGCCATTTGCCTTAAAATTTAAAAAGGAAAGATTATCTTTGAAATAGCAGAAGAAATGGGGTCAAGGAGATTGGATAGTTGAAAGGCAACATTATTGGAGAGATAGCCCTGAGGAGAGGCTAAACCAAAATGAGTGTCCCCAGAAGGTGTGTCTCAGAGGATTCTCACCTCAAGGTCTACTCAGGAAGTCAGGGGACCTGCTTGCTGCTTTGTCAGGGCTGAGGCAACCCAGCTCTGACACTCGTGAAATAGAGTTTGTTATTAAATTTGTTAAAAAATATGGAGAGATAATGGCAGGGATTCCCCTCTTAGGCTCTCAAATTCTTTCTTTTCTAATGAACACTAGGTTGTTTTCTACCTCAAGCCCTTCATCAAGGCACCCAAATCTTACATGTTTTGTTTTTATTATTTTTAAATGTCTTACTTCATAAATAAGGGCGTTTTTATTCAGCTTCACAGCCTGATTTTCAATTTTTCAGTGAAAACTTATCAGTCACATTTTCAGTGAATTATAAAAATGCTTCTTTATATTAAACCTAAAACTCCTTTTAATGGCTCCTTTGTCATTGCTTATTTTTTCAAACACTAATTAAAAAATTAATCTAATAAGCTCCCAAATTTATGTCTTCTTCTTGTTTCAGTCAGGTGTATTTTCTACCTGTTCTTCCTGTTGTATAGTCCTTGGTCTTACGAAGTGGAGAACACTGATCACAAATGAAAGAGAGTTGGGATACAAGTGGTTGTGTGAGAATTTTGATGGTTTTTCTCTTCTTCTATCCCCACTTTTAACTGAAAAAATGGACTCATTCCTTGAAAAAACTACCTTCTGTAGCCAAACATGTGTTCTCACTCTTTATTTACACAGCTGAGGAAAAAAACAACAACTTGATTGTAAAGCTATGTTTTCTGTTGAATTATCAGAGGGGAGGGATTCCAGAAGCTTCATTAACATAGGTAAGACAATGAAATTAAAAAAAACTTTCAAATACTATATTATTTTTACTCCTGACAAAGGGGCAAAAGAAGCAAAAAATAATTATTATAAAAATTATACTAAAATTGTTCATCTCTGATGATTGAAAGAGAGAAAGAAAGTCTCAGAGACTACTTCATGGACTATCCCATTTAAGAAGACTTGAGGGCAGTGAATGGGTCCTTTCTGAGATTTTAGCAGAAACAGGATCAGCTGAGCTGGGGATGGATGAAGGGTAATGAGGGAAGGAGAGGCTATCTAGGAGATCCTGGAGCTGGGTCGAGGAAGAGGAGCTGGGCCCAAAGCAGAACAAAATAACATGATTTTAGGGATTGTATAAAATAAATGTTTGAATGCCAGTCCTTAAAATAACTTCAACTTCAAACTGTAGGTTCCTTCTCCTCTTAATCTTCATCCTTCCTTTCACCTCCCCTGCTTTTACTTTCTTCTGGTCTTTCTCCTCTTCTTCATTCTCTAACAGTACCTCCTTTCCCTTCTTAACCTCCATGGGGTAGCAGAGGTTATAATTCTCCCTTTTTGGCTCATAAAGACTTTAATCATGGCATGTTTATCATCTTAGAAACATAGGTCGTATGAGAGAAGAAGAAAAACTGAGAAATCTGAGCACTGGATCAGCTGAGAACTGTGAAAAGATATGTTTATTGGCCCAGGAGATGCTACTGGGAGCCAGGTGCTTGGCTGAGAGTTCCAGGGATCTTTCTTAAACAAAAGTCTCATCAGACATTCAGATGGGCTAGGCTGGTGAGGCCTTCCTTAAACACCTTCGATGAGGTTCCCAAGCTAAGTGTTTTCCTTCCTCTCTTTAGTAGTTCTAATCAAGATAGTTGGCAAGCTGAGTCATGTACTATTATCAGAAATTGGTAGTGAGAGAAAGTTCCTATTGTAGGTATTTTAATATCAGTAAATTTCAGTCTACTCCAGCCTCTAATAGTTAGTCAAAATTCTCCTGTTGCTTTTTTTCAGTTGAGGTAGATTCCATAAGATCCTGAGAGTCAAACTTCTCAACCACAGGTTAGAGGAGCAGAGTTGTTTCAAATAATATATTCAAAAATAGTGGTAATAACATGAAAGAATTTATGAAAAAATAAAATAAAGGTTTAGAAGGAACTCAAGGTTAATATAGCAAATCTAGTCCCTCCATTAAAATGTTTTAAATTACCCATTTCTTAGAGAGAAGAACAATCTATCATCCCCTTTGTGCTCAAGGGGTGACAAGGAGTCCAGAATCCCTATTTCATGTTCTGATATGTCACCAGTGTCCTCATATGAGTTCTTATTTCCCCCCATTTCTGAACAGTGGCCTTGAGGAAGACTCAGAAGTACATCCCATAATCTGCAGAGTAGGCGTATGAAGCTGACAGTAACCACACTCACTCCACATAGTTTGTGGTGCTTGTGGAGGTGGAGGCTGTGGTTTTGGCCAATCACTTCCTCTTTACCATAAAAATATCCTGGTAGTGGTTTCCTCACTTCCCTTTTGGACCGCAGCTCCTTCTATGGAAATACTAGGTAGGAAGAATCATTTGCATGGAGAAGTGAAAGCATAAAGAGGATCCACTGGGGAAAGGAAATCCAGTATGGATCTGGGTTTCCAACTAGCTTAAAGTAGTGACTCCCTAAAATTTACTTCCAAAAGTGACTAGTTAAGAATAGGTGACTAGAGGACCAGGGACGAACACTTCCTAAATTACTCATCTACATTCTGTTTTAGTGAGGAGAAACAAAAGTGCCACATCAAAGGCTATGTGCATGACTGTTCACTGTGCGTACAGCCATCCTGAGCCTTTAGGGCACAGGTGGGAGATGGTCAATGGATGGAATAACCTCATACCTAAGCCTGTGTGGGTGAAGGGAAAAAATAATGGGAAGGGGCAACTGAACCTGTGACCTCTAAGATGGAAATCAATAAAAGTGAACTTAGTGATATAACTTAAGATGGGAGAAAGTTTAATTGTTTCTTGATTAAAATAAGATACAAAGTTACACCAGTGGAATTAAAGAGGAACGGATGAAATAGGGAAGGGGGTGAGGATTCTGGAGAGCAATGCAATCTCTACCATTAAGAAATCACAATATGGAAATATTCGAATGTCCAGGATATAAGGTTGTGCTCAGTGTAGGTGGCTAAGCCATGAGTATCCTGCTCAAATTTCCTTTGGCTTCTTACACTTAATTCTGGACACTTTCAAGTCTATTAGTTGACTTAGAGCAAATATCTATGTGGTACATTTACTCTATAGAGTAGATACCTTCCCAGAGAATAGCCACTTTTCCAAACTGGTATTTAGAAAGTAGATATAATATCTGAGAAGCCTTGGACATAATGCCTAGCTCTTGGTAGATAATGAAATAAGGTTTGGCTATGCTATCATTTTAAAAAACAATTTTTTTCAAGTATTTTCTTTTCCTGGCCATAATGACTTCAGGGTAATATAGAGAATGTGATTCTAATGCCTTGCACTCGGTGCTATTACATGCAGATTTTGAAGTACCATATCAGCCTTGACCCCTTCTCTCACACCCATACCTATTTAGGGAAGCTCAGGCAAGCTCAAGTTAATTAAAAAACATGTATATAAACTACCATTCAGTAAATATGAAATCATTAGATGAATGAGGATAAAACCACAGCATATAAGTTGCCTTAAAATTATAACCATATAATTGGGTAACTTACTTAAATTAAAAAAAATTTTTTTTAAGATTTCAGGAAGTCTAGGAAGTCTTCCTTAGAGTAAGAGAAGGGCTAAGAAGACCTAGGTGAATTTTCCTATGTAGAGACTCAAGTAAGTTGAAAAGAACATAATTGCATTTGTTTATTTAACACATCTAGTTAAATAAAGAAAAATAGATCAAAGAAATCATGTTGACCCCTTTCACTCATGTATTTTGTTAAAAGGTCAATGACCTTATTTTCCTCTGTGTTCAGAAGAAAATAATTTTGATTTTAAGAGAACTAACTATTTTCATTGGAGATTTTAATTATCTTTCTCAAAACAACCATTTCTCAAATAGGCAATATTCCCCTTGGTAAATAATGACTTAAAAAAGTCAATAGTAAATATAATCACTAAACCTTAGAGTAATGAATTTTGATATTAAAACATGTTAGTTTATTTTTATCCCACTTTTTATTTAGATGTTAGTTTTTCTAGGACATGCCCTATACTATCTATCGGAAATCTTATATGGCCCAAGTTTCTGAAGTGCAGTTGTTAATCTCTACTAAGCATCTCTGAGGCAACTGTGGTATACACAGTGCAGTAACCTAGAGGGAATGTCTCATAAGAGATGTTCCAGATGAGGACAAGGCTTGGAATTAATCATAACTCTAAGACTTCAATTTTCTCCATGTCTTACCTCTGACTACAGACTGGAAAATAATAGGAGGGGCATGGTTCAGGGGGCGGGATGGGAGCAGGCAGGATCAAGATGCTGCCAATGTGTCTGGGGAAAAAAATATATAAGTATTTATAGTTCTTTGCCTAATTCCGAGTTTTTCAGACTTTGCATTGTCAGCAGACAATATAGAAAATGTGGTTCAATGTTACTGTAGATGAGGGAGGCAGAGAGCTTAGTAAATGAGACTATGAACAACAGGGCAGTATAGACTGATATCAAAATCTCAAAAACATTTTTCTGCACCTTCAACCCTACCATTTACTTGAAGTGACCAGCCCTGTATATCTCTTCTTTCTGCTTGTCGACTGAGCAAAATGTTTAGTTTCTATCCGTACTCAACTATAAATCATTTTCCCAAGACACAAGTTTTGTTTGTTTGTTTGTTTTCCTTTTGTGGTCTCCCTACTTCTGAAGTTTTCTCACTTACACTCTTTCCTAGTTCATGGCTTTACACCTCCAATAAACTATGTCTGGTTGTAAGATCACAAATCTGTTTTTCAGAGATTAGTTTTTTTAATTTATTGCAAAACTGTAAGTTTTCAAAGAGCAAGTTCATAAATGTGCAGTCAGCTCACCATAAACAGAGTCCAAGTCTCCAACAGCAAAAACAGCCATGGTGCGTCTTGAGGAAGCAAGTTGGCATCTCCTCAGCCAGCACTGAAGGCAGAAGAGCACTGCTCCACAGAGCAGAGCCACCAGGAAAATTAGAAGCAAAAACCTGATGCCAAAGAAGGAGAGGAGTGAGGTGGAGCATGCAAGGATCTTAAGAGCTCCCATTACTTTCTGAAAAGGGGACAGGAACTCACAAGACCGACTGCAAGCAATCTGGGAGGCTAAATTCGTTAAGCAACACCCACACCATCTCCACCACCACTTGTACATTTTCACTGAACCTGGATGTATGCTGAGCTCAGAGTAGGCAATAATTTTACCTTCAAAGATTTTCAACTAGGGAGTAAACTACTATTTTTAACACTAGTAAGTTTACTTAAATAAAAAGTGATATTTCTACATGTTTTGATTTACAGGGCTTCTATTATTTTCTTAATAGGTGTGATTTCATATACCATATTAGTTATTTAGGAAAAGGAATGTGTGACCAAAGATTTTATAAAACAAATTGAAGATGTTCTTACCAGATATACCAGTCATTTGGGTATTGATCTTTATAGTTTATACACCTGGTAATAAAGAACAGTTAGTGTTGGACCTCTAAATGGCCAAACCTATTCTTTTGGACCACAATATTTGTTCTGACACCTAATTCCCAACAATCACATACTCACCGCAAGTCCTCTGACACAATTAAGCAAATGTTATGCATGCTTCATTCAAGGCACTGAGGATACATGTAAATGGAAACTATAAGATATTTAAACAGATAACTGCACAGTAGTATGTTCTATGCTAGAGTTACAAATACCATTGTACATGGAGAAGATAGTGACTAACTTTTCAGGGCTAACATGTTGTAGGTATTAGGTATTAGGAGATAACCATCCCACCATTCTGTTATTCAGAGACGCAGAATTCTTGAAAATGTAAATATTCCAGGGAAGTTTATAATGTTTATAACCTTTGATATCTTGGTGGGGAATAGCAGCACTTGTACTCTGGTTGGAGAAAGAAGTTAGAATAAAAGGAAAATAAATGAGTGTGTCCATTTTTGCCATTTGCCAAATGTTAAAAGTTGATTTTTTTCAATCTGGATGGTTAAACATTTGTGTACCTCAGCACAACTTAATGTCTCCAAAGATAAGGTTAAAAAGATTACACAGAAATAAAGTTCACAGTGTAATTTTTAGGTGGGTTAACTCCCCAGGTTTAGATACTTATGTGCTATTCATTTCAGAGTCCCTTTCTATGTCACACATTGTGCTTTGAAAGTATGTTTGCTGATGGACTTCCTTCATACCTCAGTAGATGAGTTGCTGTTAAAATATTCTGGGACTAAAGAGTGGAAAGCTGTTCATCACAGCCTGATAAGCTCTGGAGATGGAGCTGCACTTAATCACGTCTTCTTCAGCCATGGTTAAAATAGCAGTACTTTTTAGCTTGAAAGCATTCATAAATGTCAGTTAATTTATTGCTCCCAGTACCTCTAAGGAGAAAGTGTGTCCTGTTTATCACCCTGCTCTTCAGAAATGACATTTTAACATATGTGAATGTCAACTTAAAAATTTTACTCTGGCCCTAGTGGGTGTGGCTCAGCAGATTGGGCATTGGACTGTGAACCAAAAAATCACCAGTTCAATTCCCAGTCAGAGCACATGCTTGGGTTGCAGGCCAGGTCCCCAGTGGGGAGCTCAAGAGGCAACCACACATTGATGTTTCTCTCTCTCTCTTTCTCCCTCCCTTTCCCTCTCTAAAAATATATAAATAAAATCTTAAAAAAGTTTTTACCCCAAATATTTAAGACAAAACTCAGTCACCAGACAAAAGTTTCTCTGGGTTTTTGTTTTTGCACCTAGAAGGTTTAGTCAAAAATACAGGTACAGATGGCTGGAAAAAAATGACAGCTGAAGTATGACTTTAAAAATCATCCTAACATAAGTGATCATCAATAAAGAATTTTAAAAATAATTAATGGCATATCTTTTTAAAGAAACATTATTTATCAAAAATGTAGATTTACATTTATAGTTAAAAGCCTTGATAAGTAAAAGAATATAGGGTATTCATTTTTATTTTGTGTACATTTTATACAAATTCAATGAGTTCACTAAATAGGTATTATATAGTTATATATACAGTACATCAAATTACTAACAATGTTTGCTTCTTTTGAAGATAGTTCATGAGGCAATTTATCTTTTCTATATTTCTATATTGTTTAAATTTTATAATGTACGTGCATCACTTGTAGTCATAACATTTTTAAATATTATATTAAAATATAAAAAATCATTAAAATGTAGCATTCTGATTTTGAGATGAATGCAAGAAAATTTTCTTTGTGTATTAGCCAAATTAAAAAAAAAACTTCTTGTTTTTGAGTCTTGAAATCTAAGTTCATGACCAGAAGTGTTGATAGCTTCATTTCCCTCCATATATAAATCTCTGCTCCTCTTTACATTTAAAAATAAACTACATACTTATAATGTCAATTACAAGTGTAACTACCTTATTTTATTTCCTAGCTTTATTTTTGAGCCACTCAATATTTTTTCCAGTGCTAACAGTTATGCAAACTGACTTGTTTCACTTTCTCTTTCTGACACTGTGCACCTACTGGTGGATTTTCTGATACACAGCAAAATAGTCAAGCAGTAGTTAGCTTGAGAAATGCAAAGTGTCATGTAGTTAGGAATTGCAGGCACCTTTGGGATCACTTATTTGCCCTTTAAGATTTTACACACTCCTCCAGTGAGACCCAGAAAGTAGTTGGGGAGGTCACTAGCTGCCTGAAGAACTTAACATAGAATATGGCCCTTCTGGCCCTGTGTCCTCCCCTCCCCCCCACTTTCCGTGTTTTTCTCAAGTTCGACTTTTACACAGGAATTATTTGAATTATTTAAAAAAGTATCTGAACCATAACAGTATTCTAATTACTCAAAATTTAGATGTAAGATTTTCAGTGTAGAAAAAGTTTTATTTTTTTAAAGATGAAGTTACTGCTCAGAGATTTGTATATGCTTGGTCAAATTGGGATAATGATGCTAATAAGAAAAATGACATCCAGGAAAAGTGGGAACTGACCATGTGTTTCAGAAATACATTTCCAATATCAGACTTCTCTAGAAGTAGTTGTGGAAGGGGATCTTTTTTGTCCCTACAGGAATGACTAGTGCCCTACTTTACTCGAATGTAGTGAAGATGATTTCTTCTCTAAGAGGATGGATAGAGGAACTCATCTTTACTACTGTTCTCAGGACTGAGAATCTGTGGGCCTAAATAAGATTGGCTATTGAAATATAAACTTATTACTTTGATAAATTCAGGAATATATTAAGTCATTAAGCAGAGCATGGCTGTGAAGGGAACCAAAGTTTTATATTTTGAAATATATATCTTAAGCTATTTCTTAGGAAACAAAAGACTCAGAAAGAACCTTTGATCATCCCCATTCCCCTCTAAGAGATTCAGATGGAAAGGTCTACTTCAGGAAGGGGATCTTAAGATGTTAGCCTTAATTTAAATTAAGTATGATAAATAACAGGGTTTCAGTCAAAAGTTGTTTAGCTAGAGTCTGTGCCCCATTGTTTCTCTGTTGCCTAGGAAGTATTTACCTGTCTTGTATGTTCCACACTTCCTCAATCACCTATAAATGGCCCAGTCTCACTTTTGTAATCTAAGATCCAGTCTCTTTCTTTCTCTGTTGTCCAAAATGATGCATATGTCATTTTGCCCACTGTATTTGGAATTTTAATGCTTATGTGAATTCCCAGTGCACATGCATTAAAATTTTGAGTTTCTCCTGTTAATCTGCCTCTGTTAATTTAATTACTAACCCAACTAGAAAGACTTAGAAAGTGGGAGGAAAAGTATTATATATTTTTAGCCCCTTAAGTGTATGTATCTTAAAAGCACTTTGAAATGTACATATAACACAGTTTACAAACGTCATTAGTTTGCTTCTATTTGAAACTGAATTATCCAGAAAGTTACCTCCCATGACTGCTGTGATTTATAGGTATGAATGCAGCCATAGGTAATGTATTGATTCTTTCATGAACATAAAGAGCCCTCAAAACCTGAACAAGGGAGAATGTAGTGGGCAAAAATACCTAGAAATCAACAAGGTTCCTTATTTATTTAACAAAGTTGATCAAAATAAAAGTGGATTTTCTTTTGCTTTTAGAAAAATTAAGCCACTTGCATTTAAAACTATTTTCTTTTTCTTGCATGATTGTACTAGCTATTTGAAGCTCATCTGGGGTTTCTTAAATGACCTCAGCCTTTTTTTATTCTTTGAATTTTGAAAATGCTATTTACTTACATTTCATTTTCTTCACACAGTGGGTCCGAGAACACCAACTGAAACACATGTTTAGAACAATAAAATCCAAACATCTTGTCACTCTAATCCTTTAATACAACAGCACCTAGAGAAAATGTGGCTTTATATAATTTCGTTTGCTTTTTTAATTAAAAGCTTTGGAGCATAGTTTATTGCCAGGCACATGGAATTTTAACTGGAAAAAAAAATCTCTGGGCAGATTTTCCAGCTCAGCAATGGTGGAAATATATATTATAAGTCAGATTTCTATCTTTACACCATTATAGATGGATGTAAAATTGCTTTTTGTTTTTCCAATAGGCAGATTTTTCTTGCTCCAAAGAGCTTGTGCACCTTGCATTTTCTCTTTGTTTTTATATTTTAGTTAGAGGAAGAAGGTTAAGTATTTGTAGTACTATCACACAAAGAAATCAAATTCCCTACATGTAAACAGAAGTTCATCCTGTTAGCATTCATGAATGTTAAATATATGGCAGATGGAGTGACTTCCACCTGCTTTAAGGCTCAGATTAACTTAAAGGTACTACATTCCTGTTGAGATTTACATTTCTCTCTTTATCAAAGAGGAAAAAAGTAATAGGTTTGATGGCTTTGTTTTAAAAGACCCACACCATAAGCAATCCAACACAATTATTATAGTTCTCTGTGTTGAACCTTACAGTTTACAGTAACTCACATCTCAGAGGAAAGACAGTCCTCCTTTCTAGAGGTTTTGTTTGTTTTTTCCCTGCAATGAGACTTCTCCTGTGTATAATAAGAAAATCTTCAAATGTCATTTATATATAGTCCTAAATATGAGTTGATGAGATTACTGAAGTATTATTTTCCCGGTCTATAACACAGAAATATAAAGCCAAGTAAGTAGTTACAAAATTTAAAATTACACATGTGGGAATTTTGGGTGAGACATGACCTTTTCTCTCCTTAATCTCAAATGCATCTTTATCAGCACCTTATATTTACTCCACCACGTTTATCTGGGTAAAGAAATTTGTGGAGTTGCAGATGGAGCCATGAATTGGCCATCAGAGAGCATGGTAATGAACAATTTATAAATACAGAATGTAAGTTTCACTCTCTTTTACTAGAATGCTGCAAATACATTTGGATACTCACTGAGAGGAAAATGAACGTTCAAAGTTTGTCCATAAAGAGAGTTTATGTATGAGTAGATGAAATCATTTGGGATCTAGTTTAACAGATAAACAAATAATGCCAGCATTTCACTTTCGAGTCACTGCCTAATCTTCTGGTGTGCTATACCCCTGCAAAGAGTGAGTACACAGTATATCACTATCACTACCTCACTGTCAATGCATTAGCTGCTGGACTTCGGGATATAAGGAAATGGAGAGCGAAGTCTTCTTGTATTTTCAGACCTAAGTCTTTCAAATACATTGCATTCAAGTAATACAGCTACAGAGTTGTAGGTGTTAGTCTCAGTGAGATGTTAGAGCAGAAGACCCAGAATAAACTTCAAGATGGTTCTGTCTACATTGTTCAGCAATGGAAAACTGTCAAGTGTCAAGTGTGGTTCCAGGCAAGAGTAACAGACATGTCTTAAATTAAGACATAGCATTTTGCTATGTCAATGGCATTTTTTATTTAAAAAAATGTACAGTATAGCAAAGTTAGGCAAAGATTGCACTGCATCATCATATAACTTCAGAAGCAATAGAACTGCTTAAAGAAGAAATAAGACTGAAATCATTAACCATTTTGTTTTCAGTATCTTTGACCAATAAATATGAGTAGTCATAAGATTCTAGTAAAAATTTCTGAAAGGAAATCTTTGAAATGTATGATTGAAATTACCCAAAGAACAAATTCATAACCAATCAGGTCCAGAGAGTACTTCCTAAAAGCTTTCCCCAGAAAGAGAGATGGTTACCTGGAATAGTGGCAAACACAAGCTTCCTGTTTTGGAGATCACTGAAGTGAAACTAAAAGGTCTGGATCTCGTCATACTTAAAGGCCAAGTGGCTCAAAGATAGTGGTTTGCTGTCTGTGTTTATTTTCCTCTTTTTCAGAACGTGTTAGCTTCTCTATAAATCATGCTTCCTACCAGAGCACTCATTAGTGATGGCTCCTTGTGACTGGTAAAGTGCATGCTGGGGCAGGAATGTTGGGTGCATGCTCACAGGTATGGAGAGTTCAAGGAATTTCAGGTTAAGGTCAGAACCTTGGTACTGTTTGTCAAGCCTTTAAAGCTGATCTGTAACACTAGCTGGCTGCTTAAATAACTTAACAATATTCAAGTGCATGTTCTATTCCAGGGTATTTCTGGGTTTTATGTACAATCTTGTACTTGGTTTTTTTCCATTTGTTGGTCTTTTTTGCCTCTTTTCCTACACATCATTTTCAGTCCCAGATCTAAGCCAAGCCTGGGCATAAAGTTTTCCATTCTTAATAATGATCACACCCTACTTTTAAACAGATTATATTTCAATGTTTATTTGAATAAAATAACGCATCTGCCAACAAAAATGTTTGCCAAAATATCTAAGGAATTCTGAAAAAGAACAATGAGGAGGCATGAACTATTTTATACATTAAGATATTAGAAGAGTAGGAAATTTTATAAAAATTGGTACTAATGCACATAAACAATAAGATAAATGTACCAGAATAGAGAGCTCAGAAATAAAACAAACACAGAGATCTATTTTTTTCTACTATTTCAAACCAGTATGGAAAAGATACTGTTTAGGAAATGACAAATAACTAATTGGTTAGGCAGAAAGAATGTACAATGCCTAACCATGTTCATAATCAGATAACTACAACTTACAATTACAATCACATTGACAAGCTTAAAAATTCATGATACAGTGAGAGCAGATAGATATGGGGAGGCAAACCTTGTCATACATGGTTGGGAAATCAGCATAGCCTCTCTGGAAGGTAATTAGGCAATATTTATAAACCTAAAAACTCAATAAATCCTTTGGCCATGAATTCTCCTTTCAGGAATGTATCTTGCAGATATTACTACATGTGGCACAACTAATTACAAGCAATGATGTTCACTGAAGCATTGTTGGTAAGAACAAAACATTGGGAAAAGCTAATGTCCATCAAAATGAGACTAGTTAAATAGAAACTGATTATATACACTCAACAGAATACTAGGCAGCTATTTAAAAAAGGTGAGGAAAGATCTCCTTTTTAAAGCTATGTATGAAAAGACTTTCATGAGTTATTAATTAAAAAATAAATTGTAGAGCATTATGTGCTCTACACACATAATTAAAAGTGCTCTACACTTTTGTGAAATGAATGAACGAGTATAGGTATAGTGATTTTCCCCCATATAAAACTTACATATATAGAGGTCTGTCTGGAAAAAGTCCAGCCATTATTAAAGTAATGAAAAGCATTTGTGTGACATCAATGTAACCTGGCAGCCAAGGAGAGTGGACTGGAATGTGCATATGTGAATAATGTCAACTTCACTCTACTAGTCAGTGGGGGTGGTAGACGCCGCTGAGTGAGCATGTGTACTGTGTGGTCATCACATTCAAAATGACTAAGTGAGTAGAACAATGGATCTGCATCAAATTTTGCATTAAGCTTGAACTTTGCTCCGTGGAAATTATTCAGATGTTTCAGAAGGCCTTCGGGGGTGATGCAATGAATACAATGCAAATAAAAGCATGACACAAATGCTACAAACATGGTTGAGAATCTGTTAAAAGTGATCCACATTCTGGAAGGCCTGCAACAAGCAGATCACCTGAGGACGTTGAACTTGTATAGGCTGCAATTAACAAAGATCAGAGAATTGTGTGAGGTCCCAAGGTGCCTACTTCTTAAAGGGGACTGAGGTGTCATTGTCCTATGTACAATGTTTCTTGAATCTTGTATTTTCTTCAATAAATGTCTATTTTTCATAGAAAATGACTAGATACTTTCTAGACAGACCTCGTAGACTCATACATGCATAGAATGTCTCTGTTTGAAACTATTAATAGTAATTTTCCCTGTAAAAGGGAGGGTCTAAGGAAACAAGAGTAGATTGCTAGTTTCTTACATCTTTGATTCATAATAAATTCTTTATATGTCATTTACTCATTTTACACATACATTTCTATGGGTCACTTTTGAATCCAGACATCTAGAATTCACAACAAGCAGGTTGTAGTTCAAACCCTGTAGAGTTAACTGAATCCAATTCAAATGATAATATATGAATTTATTTATGGTCACAAACATAGATTGCACTAAAAACAAAGCAGCCGTGTCAGTTGTCTAAACTGCTGTTCTGAAATGGTCATTAAGGTACATGGATTAGTTGAGCCACGTCTGGACTGCTGAGTGGGCTGTGGTGGCCTCGGCCCGTTTAGTATGCGGCCACAGACACAGCCATGCATTTCAAAGCAGAGGAGGCATGGTGCCAATGCCAATAGGAGATAAGTAAACCAAGCCCATAGTATTATTTGTTCCTAAGACAACCTCCATTTTGAGTGTCTCTGAAGCCTGTAATTAAATAGAATGAAAAATAGGCTTTTCACTGGTGAAATTATTATTTATTAGGTGGTTGGTCAGAAGCCTGACTTCTGTCAGTGGAGTGAATGATTTTAAGAATTGCTAGGAAAGGATGGGAAAGTCAGATGACTAGAAAAGAACAGGAAGGAAACAAGAGCAGGATGTTTGGCTTAGTTTTGTAAGCAGGAACTATAACCAAGATACGTAGATTAAATAATTCTTACAAAAAAAATGATCCCATAGCAGATGGCTGACTGAGAGTATGGCAGCTGATTGAAGGTGGAGTCCATAGTCACAACAATACTGCAAACAACACTACTATATTTGGTGTGAAAATAAAAAATGTATATATTTATTACCACCTTTCCTTTCTCTGATTGCTATCTATTTACTTGAATGGCTTTGTCATTCCACTCCCAAAGGCCAGCATAGTAGACTTTGCCTAAGACAGTAGAATCCTTAGTATTCCTTTCCTATCATTTTAACAGTTTGAGAGTCTCAGAAAAAGAAGTCTGTGTATGAAAGTCCTTCTCCATGCACAGTTTTTTTATTTTGAGATACTTTTAAATTTGCCTGCAGGTTTAAGAAATAATACAGAGGTATCATATATTCTTCACCCAATTCTTCCCCATGGTAATGTCTTAGCTAACTGATGTACAACAATATGGCAGCTAGAAATTTCACAGAGGTGCAATCCACTGCCCACATGAGTTTTGTAACTTGTGTTCTATCATTTAAGTTGTGTGATTAATCCATTGCATGCCTATGTGTGAACTTAAGGTGGTGAGTTACTATCACTGGGATGTCAACCTGAACATGGATGATGGCTATTCATAACAATACGGTCTCGTTGCTGATAGTATATGAACTTCTGATGTTTTAATATAAGGGTGGAAGGAAGCAAAACTGTCAGAATCAAGAAGAAGAAAAGAGAGAACATACACTGTGGTGATACATGAGATTACAGTCACAAGATGCACCAAGTGAATACTGGACCCTGCAATTCTCATCTTTGTAATAAGAGAACAGTAGAAGCATGCTTAATGGTATAGTGCTGGTCATTTACTCAGCCTTTCTCCTATGTTAGGGGAAGTAAATCCTGTAGGAAAGGAAGGAGATGAGGGGATATAAAAACTATTTTCTGGATCAGAGCCTGGCGGAAGTCTAAATTCCTTGAAGCTCTAAAGTCATATTGATATTTGTCCTTAAAGGTCATGGTGTGCAGCTGTTAAAAAAAAAACCCAAAGACCAAAATTCAAAGGATTACATAAGAATAAATAAAAGGTATGAAAAGAAGTGAGGAATGCATAAAGAAACGTTCAAAGACCAAGAAAGAAAGAAGCATCAGATACTCTTTTTATGGAAATAAAAGTAGCAGGGTAAGGTTCTGGTGGTCAGAAGGTCTGGGCTGAATTTTATCTTCTCAAAAAATTGTATGCTCTACAAAACAATGATAATAACATTGACTCATCTCCCTCACATAATTTTTGTAAAAGTTCAACCTGAAAATACCAACACACAGTCAGACAAGGCACAGATAAAGGGATTGATTACAGTAACATAATAAAACAAAATAAAGAATTCCAAAATCAGTTTAGTTCATAAAAACTATGGAGCCAGTGTTATATAAGGAGGACTTTAAGCAAGGCAGCTTGTTTGACTGTTTGGTTTCATCATTTGCTTCATTCCTAGTAGAGACAAAAATTGATTATATTGCTAAACCAATGATCAATTTTCAGTCTTTACCTTACTTGACCTAAGTGGCAGCATTTGACATGACTATTCACTTATTCCTCCTTTAAATACTTTGGTCACCTGGCTTCCAGAACAATTCATTTCCTAATGTCTCTCCCACTTTATTGACTGCTACTCTCCCAATATCCCTCACCTCTCCAGACCTAACATATTAGGGGTGACCTAAGCCTGAGCCTTGACTTTTCTTTTCTAAATGCATTCACACTTTGGGGAATCTTATTTAGCCTCATAGATTGTCATCTGTAAACTGACAACTCCAAAAGCTATATGACCACTCAAGATCTCTTTCCTGAGCTTGTTTAGCCAGCTGCCAGCTCCATATCACCATTTGGATACATACAAGACTTCTACAAATAACCTTGCCCCAAATCTAGCTTATGAGATTTGCATCTGCCCTCTATCCATTTATTTCCACTGATGTTTTCTATATCAGTGCATCTTTGCTTTTGGTTTTCAGGCCAAAAAGACTTGTAAACATTTTTGAGCTCCTTCTTCCAGATACCATTTGCAATCAACCAGCAAATCCTATAGTCTCTACTTGTAAGATATACACAAACTTCCACCACTTTTTATTACCTTCTCCAGAATTTTTTCACCTAAATTACTCACCAGTCACCATCATCTGTCACCTGAATTATTTCAATAGCTTCCTAACAAGTCCTTCTGTTTTTACCCTTGACAACTCACAATCTCTTATCAACATGGCAACCACAGTGATGTTCTTCTCTATATGTTAGTTTCTTTCCCTCCTCTGCATAAAACTCAGGTGGTTTCATATTTCCCTCAAAGTGAAAAAAGGAAGTCCTTGCAATGGCTTACAAAACTTCA